AACAACAAAAATTGGCAAAAGACTTACAAAATAAAAAAATCCAAAATTGAAAAAAGTAAACTAAAACTACTCAGCAAAAGAAATCACTGTAATTCATCGAGCGCAAGCATTGAGAGTAAATTGACGAAAGAGATTGTCATAGCATGTTACATAATAAGTACCGTTCTATACTAGCGCGTGCATCTATATACAACTTACTTAATTAATYAAGTATTAAGTAGCCTTAATTATGCAAAAATTTCAATTTCCCAAAACATTTAATTGCGTTTACACAATATGAAAAGTTAATAAACAAAAAAACACAAAACAAAACTAAAAGAAAACTCGTTTTAATTGCATAAGCAACATAAGGGTTTCTACATATGAAAGCGGCGTTATGAAATAACTTTCATAATGTTGTTGTAGCGGCAGAAAGCATCCCTGAATCCTGATGACGGTCAAATGCTGTTTTGGAGATTTTCGGTTGGTCGTCCCCATGCTTGACGTCTAGCTTCCCGGCTTCGTCTTTGTAATTCCTCTTTTTCGAGCACGTCTTTGACACGCTTTCCGTCGAACGCTGCCTCTGCCTTAGCGTTTGCATTGAGAAGAATATCGCTGTAAAGAGGCAGCTTTCTTGGTCTGATCCGTCATGGACTGTGGCAGCCTTGCAGCTTCTCGTCTCCCGCCAACGTATCTGTCCGCTTCGTTTCTTTTTTGTCCTCCGTTTTGATTTTTTGATTTCCTACCTCCAAATACCTCATTAGCAATAGCCGTTGTTTTACCCATTCATCTACTTATAAGAATGCAGTCCAAAATAAGGGGATGATTGGAAAAATACGTCAGCCATCGCCAGCTTGAGATCATGGCATTGTAAGCAGCGACACACATTGCCCAGTCGACACGTGCGCGAGGAATACAGAAAAGAGACCATTGATTAGTCGCAAATCAAAAGCTTGGCAATACTGTTCGCCCAACAGCGAATCTCGGCAATCCGAAACGTTCGGAAAGCACTTAAAATATATACTTAAATTGCCTTCCTGTAGCATACCTTTGTTTTAGCATAATAGAAAATAATAAACTCTCATCGAAGAATCCATATTACAGCTATATTAGAGCCTACAAAAAGTCACTCACTGACTTCCCATAATTAAAATACTTTCTCAAATGTTGCCGTTGCCCACAATGAGCTCTAAGCTTTATTCAAGTCACGTTAGAGCAATAGCTCTCAATATACCGCTCAACCGCATAGGAGTATATAGAGCGTGCAATCCAATTCAAAGCGGCTTGGATTCTCTGTCATGTACGTCAAGTTATATGAAACCATAATAGGGAATTCCCTTGATAAATCAGAAATCAGCAATTTGTAAAGTGTCATCTGAAATCAGCGCAGTTGTAAAAGTGAAATTGAACAGTTCTAACCAGTATGTTGACGTCTTCCTCATACCTATTTGATACGAGGATAGTTCGTTAAGGCTACAAAGTTGCACTTACGAAAGCCTGTCTTAAGCCGGGTTAAATATACCTAACCTGTATCTACCATAAATAAGTATTTGGTTCATGATTTGGTTTCTAATTTTTTTTTTTTTCTTTGAACAGGTATCAAAATCCCATACTTAGATAATCAACGACTTCATTGAGTCCGGTACTCGGATTATTATAGTACGTACTACAGTCACTTTGGTAGTATTTTTCGAATAAAAAAAAAATGAAGGCCAGTGAATTTATGCATATTTCCATTTATATAATACAAAAAAATTAAAAGGTTAGTTTCAAAAAGTCACTGATTTATCACACAACCCTCGCGCATAAAACATGTTTATTCTCCGTTCCTATATATGAGTAATCTTTCGGAAATCCCCTGAAAAACACAATTAGTTCTGCTGCAATTCTCTTGCGGTAAAAGCAATTACCCTTTTTTGTGAAAAATATAACCGAAATATTTTTTAAGACGAACTCTTTGAAAATTTTACTCACACCCTTGCTACGGTTTTAGACTGAGTTTACGCTACTCAGGCGCACATATGTTTAGGTTAGGTGTATAAAGCTAATTCTCTTTTCAGAGAACACACTTGAATGGCTTAAATTAACTACCAAAAAGATATCCTGTTCTATTCACTTTTCTGTCGCCAAAACGCCTTGAATCTGTCGCAAATCATGCTTGGACGATTGATCTGGCCTAGAAATATATAGCGCACCGGTATAGCTAAAATATAAAATCCCGCGTTGGTTCCCTAAGCTTAAATGAAGTACGAAGAAATTGCCGAAAGGCTGACGGATTTTTGTTACAAGTTTGTTACTTAAGAAGTACATTCGCACAGCGGTATGAGTAATCTCTACACTACACTAATAGCGGGTATGACTAGACTGTGCTGTGGTGAATCAAATCTCGATCGTAATTATATTATATTAAGGAAACAAATACTAAGCCGACATATGTAGCTTAATGATGTTGAATTGTAAGCCAAAAAAAGTATATATAAATATGAATATATTTTATAGACCTTTTATAGGCGGTTTTTCTTCATAAAACCCAGTTCCATATTTCTAATTATTTTTTATATATTGTGACCCGGAAAGTTCTCGCAAATTGTAAATAAAACGCAAAACATTTAATTATTCATCAATCTTTATTTTGTCGCTTCACAGTAATCTCCACTAGCTGAAAAACACTTATGCCTACGATTTCTCTAGTTCTCGAAATAGTTTTCATAAGCTCAACTCCTTAAGCGATCTCTTCGATCGACTGAAAACGGGTTCCATTCCGATGGTTGTTGACTTGTATACAGTTATAATGTCCTCTATGAATGTGAGATCGGAATTCACACGATCAGCAAGACCAAAGAGATTTGCTTATGGTATTTTTTTTTTTTTAAATCAGCTTTATCGAGACGAGTCGAGCAAGTTCGTGTTTCATACCCAAAATATCTACCAAAATCATTCGAATGAACGCGCGAGAGATGTAAGCTCTCTTGCCATTTCGCTAACGACGATTTTCAAGCATCATATTCCTCACTTTTTTAATATTTTCATCAGGTGAAGAGATCGAAAACCGTACAGTACGAGACATGTCTTCAACGATATCTCCATCGTCTTTGCTTTGTACCACTCGTAGGCTTGTGTTTCTAAAACTGAATCACCGTAAGCCTTTTCCAACATTTGCAACGATTTCACATACGAAATTTGGTTAGAAATACAAAATTTTAGGTAAATTCTTTTTTCGATATTTTTATCTATTGTAAAAATCGTAACGCACTAATGAGGTGTATCGACTCGCGCGAGAGCGCCCTCATATTTGGCTTTCACAATGTATACATAGGTTATAGATCACTCAACTGTAATATCTTATGATCTAAAGGAAATTAAATTCACAAAATGTTAAAGAAAGCTTATCACTTTCTCATAACTCCGAAACAAACTAGTACGATTAATTTTCCCCGAATTTCGCATGGTTTATTTTCTAAGGCAATGGTGCAATCTCCGCAAAAATTGTTGACCGATCAAAATTCTTGGAAGGAATATTTTGTATTTGTGAAAAATATAGTAGCTTCTAAGGAAGCGAAGTCGAATTCTTTTCTTAATTTTAGAATATGATAAACGATTTCGCCCTTCGAACCGCATAATGTAGAAATATATGTATATACTGAAGATAAGTCTTCGTAAATGTAGTAAAATTAGTAATGCTAAAAATCACCAAATAGTAATTTACATAATGAAAGTTTTAGCATATAAAATTATGCATTGGATTAAGTGAGCTATTGTTTGTAAACAATAAATTTCAAAATTTTATTGAGAACAAAGAGGAATTCAAATTTTAAAGCTATCGAGAACTCCATGAGTTGCCTCACGTTATTGTACTTATTTTTTCACATACAGTGTATTATTTTGAAAAAAGAAAAATAAAATAAAATACAATTTAAAAGCGAAAAATTAACTTTACTATAATACTGTATTTATTTTTTTCCGAAAATACTTTTTATACTGCTATTCATACGTTTTTTTTTTTTCAAAATTTGAGCCTTTATTTAAGAAAATCATGTACAATGATATAATTCAAAGTATTGTTCAATTGAAGCTTTAACATTTTTTTATAACATTCTTCTTTCTGGCAATTTGTGGATTTCATAACAAAAGTACTGAGACGGCTTCGTGGCCCAGAATAAATCTAGACAATATTTAATACCTTGTGCTGATGGGAACCGCGTTCCTGTGAAGGCATGAAAATACAACCTCTGCTTATGTCTGGTCTGAACAAGAACTCGGTTTGGATATCTGGGAGCTTCGCAGTAGAAGTAGATATTAAGTCTCTATTCTTATTATTTATAGCCGTCCAACGGAGTGGACCCCTCTGCTTTCCCAGGCGGGTCTGCGTCGAATATCCTCAGAGCTGGAGTGCTTTTATCCATTCAGTCGGCATAGTCTAGCCAGCGTAACCGCGACGAGTGTTTGTTTGACCCAGACCAGACCCATTTGCTCCGCTTCCTTATTCAATCCGGAGAAATCCCAACTAACGGCGCGATTCCTGAGACCAATGATATCAATATCATCTACGTACACCAGCAGCTGTACACTCTTTTAGAAGATTGCACTTTCAAGTTTCTAATAAACTAAAAAAAACGTAAATTCGACCAGCCAGTATAACCTACCCGCATTTTCAAATAAAATTAAAATATCACTGCATTAAGGCCCGTTTTATCAATATATGCTAAGTAGCCAACTGTCAGTTAAGTTCTAGTTAAAAAAGGTCCTTTAACGACAGAAGGAGTCATACTTAAGTTAACAAGAACCTCAAGAAGACTTCTTGATTAAGTTAACAAGTACTCAACTGACAGTTGACTGCTAACCAGACGAAGACGAAAACGGCTCTAAGTAAAGTTTTAGCCACCCCCAAACCACTGTGCGTCGACTAGACCGGCTTGAGAGCATCTTTAATGCAGTCATTGACGCTTCAAGCGCTGCTTTTACTCGAATTTAGTTTCAGTTCGCAAACGCTACTCGCAGTCAATGGTTTAGAACTGGTACTGTATTCCGCTAAATATTTAATTAACAGATACTCGCAAATCGTTAAGCTAGCCTACATAAATATATATATACATATGTATGTGTATATGAGTTGAGTGCATATCGCGTTCGTCGCTTTGTGATCGGCGTTCAGTGATCTTGAAAATACAAAATTAAATGTAAAATAAATAAAAATAATACTAGTATATATTTATATATTTTGTAGCGAAATCATTATCTTTGCTGAAACGAACATTGTGTAAACAAATCTACAAACTTAACTAAGCTTAAATTAATTGTATACATGTTTAGTTGAGCTATCTACTGAAACGACTAAAAATTTTAGCTTGACAAGCAGAAATAATAAAAAATAAAAATACATTTTAAACAAGCAACGTTTAAACCGCAGTCCGGTTCTCGTGTTGGGTCTGTGTGGATTTGATATTTCTGAAAATCACACACACAAATAACAATATTTATATGTGATATGGATATATAACACAATCTAGATATATATGCATCTATATTAAGCTAAGCTTTGATATTGAAAGTGTCTTAATTAGTAATACTGGGAATAACTCTTTAATTAACACGAGCTTTAGGGTTAAATCTTATCTAAAAAAACATCATTAATTTGCTTTTAACTGATGAAAAATTGTACAGACCTGTTCTGATATATTATATTTTGCTTTAACTGATCATATTACTTTGTAGAAACCGCCGAGTGAAAATTTACACGCGTTTCCAACAACACTCATCAAACTTTCAAATACTCGTGCGACAGTATTAAATCTGTCCGACAAATAACGTCACAATGCTATTACGTAAAGGTAAGTCCCATTGTGTTAGTGTTGTTTTAATGCATTAATTTATTTATAAACAAAAGCTAGATTATTAATATATAAGCGTTATGTATACTAAAAATAAACCGTGTTAGGATAGGAGTGGATTTCAGCCACTTACACGTTTATAGCTGAGTTTAAAACAGCGCGCCAGTCGTGTTCCTTTTCGCTGTTTGGGTCCTAAATGGGATCAGATAACTCTTCTTCACCTGGTCTTTTCAGCGGAGTGAAGGGATTCTTCTTCCTGTGCTTGCTCCGGCGGTTACCGCGTCAAATACTCTCAGTTGCTGGAGTATTTTCGTTGATTCAAACGACATGACCGCATTCGCTGTCTCTTCATTCGCTGAACTATATCATTATAGTCGTATATCTCGTACAGCTAATCATTTCGTCTACTGCGGTATTCCCGTTGCCAATGCGCAAAGGACCATAAATCTTCCGCAGTACCTTTCTCTCGAAAACTTGTAGCGCCGACTCATCAGTTGCTATCATCGTCCATGCCTCTGCACCATATAGCAGTGCGGTGATGGTGGGTGGTATTTGGTATTTGTTCTTTGAGAGAGGACTTTACTTTTCAATTATCTACTCAGTCCGAATGCGTCGACTGTTTGTTTGATGACAGGAGATATTTCGTCTTACACTCGTTCACTACCAGACCCATTTGCTTTGCTTTTTGTTCAAACTGGAGAAAGCAGAATTAACAACGCGGTTATTATGTCCAATGATATTGGACGAGCTCTGTAGCTCGAATTATTTTCTCCAGTCGCACGATAGAGAATCGCCTTTTTACTACTTCAAATGTGAAACCTGTTGCAGTACGAGTGTTGCCTTTAGTAGTAGTTTACTGCAGATCTAAGTTTCTTAATCCTTTGTCCAATTGTCGTACAGTGACTGACTGCACCAATGGTCGTAAAAAGACCACGTGTTATCAGGAGGAAATGAGCGGAAAGTCACGCCTACCAAAGTTTGAAGATTTTGACCAATTTGATGGGAGGGGCGATGGCTGTTGTTCAGTTTGGAGTGAGTGCAGTTCGGTTACCCTATATTTTTGGAGCATCAACAGACAAAATAAATCTGAGAAGATATGGTGCGCGTAAATTTTTTTTTCGGTTCCATTATCCAAGGCGTGCGATGTTAGATAAGTGCAATTCAATAGACGTAGCAAAAGGTGGTTGGAGTCAAGCGTTGACCTATAACACTCAAGACATATATTTCGTATGTCGGTGTCGATTCTGAATAGGTGGGAGGTTAAAAACGAAGTTGCGTAAGGATCACTTTAGACTTTTAATGGCGAGTCTAAATTCAGTTGCGTCCGTACTCTGTAAATTATTCTATGCCGTCGACGTAATTAAGGACTGATCTCTGATGTTTCTACGATGCGTTTCCGACTCAAGCAGACGAGTGTGAGTGTGATTCCTACGAAAGCATTTTGCAACTCGTAGTTCCCAAACTGTGGCTCCACAAGCCTTAAATCAGCTCTTCCGAAGCCAACTGACGTTTGGGCGACGGTGTCTTAGACAGGATGTTTTCATATTGTGCTTTTATAAGGTCTGTTATAACGGTTATCTGTACGCTATCCATCAATTTGAAATTTTGAATCTAAAGGTAGTTTTAGAGTTGCTTCGACCGACTTGGTATGTTGGTTAAGGTGAAGGATCTTCTTTGCGGTATATACGATTATGTAGATTGGCATATTATTTTAAATCTAAACTTACCGTTATGCAATGAACTTAAAACTTGTATATACTTATTTCTTATGCTTTCAGCGTTCTTCGCCTTCCTATCGCTCAGCTTATGCATCTTAATACACTTAACTGCCAGCGAATATTGTACCAAATTAGAGAATGCAAGTTCGGCGTTGCAGACAAATCCCGCACAGTTCGCCAGCATCGCGAGCGGTGCAGAAAAGTTTGGCCTGGAACTGTTTTCCTTGATTTCCACGCAAGCGGCCGATAATGATTTTGTAATTTCACCATTTTCCGTATGGGCGCTATTACTCCTGCTTTTGGAGGCCGCATCGGAGAATACATTGGACGAGCTGAATACAGTGCTGCGCATAAATCAGGATCGTCAAGCGTTACGTCAAGCATTTAATGTGGTGCAGCAATTTTTGTTGTGAGTTGGAATTACTATTTTTTATACCCTGAACAGGGTGTATGTAGTAAGTATGCGACGAAATTCGTAAAACCTAGAGGGAAACGTCGCAGGCCACGTCTTTAGTCTGTACATACGCGAGTTAATCTCTCATATTTTGAGATATCGATCTGAAATTTTCTAGACGTCTCTTTCTTTACAAAAAAACTGCTATTTTATCGGAATCGCCGAAATGGACCACCATAGCATATAGCTGTCATACTAACTAACCTATAAAAATTAAGTTGTTGTATGGAAAACTTTTTTATTTGCCCAGATATCTTCAAGAAATTTGGCATAGATTAGTGTTCAAGACAGTACTACATTTTCCTATCAAATTGTTCAGATCGGACCACTATATGATATAGCTGCCATACAAACTGACCTATCAAAACCAACTTCTTGTGTGGGAAACGTTTTTATTTGCCCAGATATCTTCAAGAATTTCTGTATAGAATAGTGTTCAAGTTTGTTCTTTAATCTCCCAACAATTAGTTCAGATGGGACCACTATATGGTATAGCTGCCATACAAACTGACCTATCAAAATAAAGTTCCTGTATAGAGAAATATTTTATTTTTTTCTCATATTTTGAGATATCGATCTGAAATTTTCCAGACGTCTCTTTCTTTACAATAAACTGATATTTTATCGGAATCGCCGATATTGGACCACCATAGCATATAGCTGTCATACAAACTGACCTATCAAAACCAACTTCTTGTGTGGGAAACTTTTTTATTTGCCCAGATATCTTCAAGAAATTTGGCATAGATTAGTGTTCAAGACAGTGCTACATTTTCCAATCAAAATGTTCAGATCGGACCACTATATGATATAGCTGCCATACAAACTGATCTATCAAAACCAAGTTCTTGTATGGAAAACTTTTTTATTTGCCCAGATATCTTCAAGAATTTCTGTATAGAATAGTGTTCAAGTTTGTTCTTTAATCTCCCAACAATTAGTTCAGATGGGTCCACTACATGGTATAGCTGCCATACAAACTGACCTATCAAAATAAAGTTCCTATATAGAGAAATTTTTTATTTGACGTGATATTTTCAAGAAATTTGGCAAAGATTAGTGTTCAAAACAGTCCTTTAATCTCCGAAGAAATAGTTCAGATCGGACTTCTATATCATATAGCTGCCATACGAACTGATCTATCTTGATTTTGATCTTGTATGGAAAACTTTTTTATCTGAATGAAATTTTTATTTCTGTAGGATATTATAGCTTCAGTGCAACCGAAGTTATCGTTTTTTTTTTGTTTTTGTACTTTTTTACAACATATTCCATTCTATACTTTTTGATGTTTTTAAATAAATATTTCATTGATAATAAATTTTTATATTATTATATACATACTATATATATTAATTTTTATTTATATATACATATAATGTGTATATATATTTATATAGGCGCAAAACATCGACCATACACGTCGAAAGCTTACAAGCAATGTACTATGACACCTTCGAAAGGTTCGGACAAGACTATATTACTACACTAACATCTTGCTACAACGCAAAGGTACAAAACTTAAGTTTCAACGATACCAAAACTTCGGTAAATTTCATTAACAATGCAATAAATACGGAAACCAAAGGTCTAATAAAGGATGCCATAACTGAAGCTGACTTGGAAAATGCAAAACTATTACTCACATCGTCTCTGTATTTTAAAGGACAATGGCAGGTGTGTAAATATATCAATTTAGCTAGCTATTATATCAAATTGTGCTTTGGCAGTTCCCTTTCAACCGAAGCGAGACACGCAGAGAGACCTTCTACGATATGAATGGCAAGCCGGTTGGTGAGGTTGAGATGATGTTCCAAATGACACCATTCAACTACACCAGAATGCAGGATTTGCAGGCGCACGTGCTCGAACTGCCGTACGGCAATGAAAATCGTTTGTGTATGCTAGCTATACTGCCAAATAAAGGTGACGTAAAAATTTGAGAATGTTCTAAAACTTAATTTAAGCAAACTTGGCAAACATTTTGGTATATTTTGCAGGCATCTCGGTCAATCAAGTGGCGCAGAGCTTGCAGAAATTGGGTGTGCGCCCAATATTCAATAAACTTGAGGAGGACGCCTTAAATTTCGGCGAACAGGAAGTTGAGGTGTATGTGCCACGTTTTGAGACATCAACGTCAATATCGCTAAGAGGTACACTAGAAGCGGTATGTATAGTGTTCATTCTTGCAAATAGCTGAACAGTAGCTTATAACATTTTTTGCTCTTTTTTCACTAGATGGGCATAAAGAGTATTTTCAATCCGCAGACTGTAAATTTAGGCATACTCTCGAAGAGCTTGTTCGTGAAGGACGTCATACAAAGCACGAAAATAATAGTGAATGAAGAGGGCACCGAAGCGGCCGCAGTCGTTGCGGCGATTTTGACTAATAAAATTTCGCCACCGAAATTCTACTTTAATCGCCCATTCCTGTATTTAATTGCGGAAAAACGTTCGAGTACATTATTATTTGCCGGCCAACTATCGACACCGAAATTATTAAAAAACTAAAAGTACTAAATATTTAAAATTATTGTTTTTTTTTTAATGATTTTTACCTAATTAATGAAATGTAAAAAGATTTAAAACCTTAAATGTTATTTTTTCGGCCGTCCCGCTGCCTTCTTGCCGCCTACTGGTTGCTTATCCTTATTCGTTTTGCTTGATATTAATGGATGCGTTTCTGGAGTGTGCAAAGAAAGCATAATTTTAGCAAATATTGCTCCTTATTTTACCAATGACAGCGTTCACTTACCGTCTACTGGCGCATCCGGCAGGCTGATGTCATAATTGCTAATTTTACGCTTTTTTGCCGTTACCGCATCCTCGTAGTCCTGTGGGGCGTTCTCACTTTCTTTAATGAGTGACGTGTCCACACCATCTTGCATGGTCCAGCCATCTTCAGGATCTTCAACCTCTGGCGCCATCGGCAGAAATTGCAAAGCATTTTCGTCCTCACCCTCTTCATCGGATGAGCAAAATGCTGCTACTGGTTCCACTTTTAACACGTCCACTTCAATTTCTTCATCCTGCTTCGCATCCGCATTTAAATCAACCGATTTATCTTCATCCGTAATATCGAATTCCGATTCACGTTCTTCATATTCTACATTCTCGTCGAGCTCCTTGAAATCGGGCGCAAATGCTGACCAATTTTCCACTTGATTTTGTGCCCAAATCGAAACGAGCCCCGAACTAATGCTAGCTATAATGGGACGTACCGGATGCCACACAACATCGAGCAGCAATTCACCTTTGGTGCCGTGCAGAATTTTCACCAAATTCCCTATCGACTTTTCCCATATATAGAGCGCATGTTGACGTGCACTACCGGCGCATATGTATTCACCATCGCCGGAGAAACAACACTTTTTCCAGGTTGTTCTGTAAAACAGTTCAGCGTTAACAACAACAATTTCACATTGCTGATATGGTTAGAGTTTCATATATATTTGTATTGTTGATTTATCTTTATAACTTGAACGGAGTATATTAAGTTTACTACATCCAGAAGAACTGAGATATCGATATGAAATTTTGCATACGTATTTTTCTTTCTAAAAAGCAATATATAGCACCACTATAACATATGGCAGCCATACAAAGATCAAAATTTAATACTTGTAGGGATTTTTTTCTTCTTTTTATTTGACGAAATATCTTCACGAAATTTTTCATGGAGTATGGTTCAAAGCAACGCTACAATCTCCGACTAATTTTCTCAGATTGGGCCACTATAGCATATGGCTGCGAAACAAACTGACCGATCAAGGTCAAGTTCTCGTATAGAAAACTTTTATATTTGACGAGATATCTTCATAAAATTTGGCATCAATTATTATGCTAACTAACGCTTCAATCTCCGAATTAATTTTTCCGATCGGACTACTCTAGCATATGGCTTCCATACAAACCTAACGATCAAAACTTAGTACTTGTAGGGAATTTGACAAGGTATCTTTACGAATTGTGGCATGGATTATTGTCCTAAGCAACGCTACAATCTCCGCCTAAATTGTTTAGATCGGTCTACTATAACTTAAAACCGTCATACAAATAGACCGATTAAAATTTAGTTCCTATATGGAAATTTTTTTATTTACAAATGATGCAACCGAATGTGAGATTATTTCTTGTTGTATACATTTTTGTACTCGATAAAAAGGTGTAAGATTTTTATAGGCAGGGAAAAATGTTTAATCGAATTTTAAAAGAAAAAAATTTTCAAATATACACCAAAACATATACAAAACAGTTTACAATTTAACTTTACTCACTTGTTCACTAAATCCTGTAACTTTTGTATAGGCTCAGGCTCACCATCCTTCCCCAGCGCTATGATCTCCTTTGAGTCGTAAACCCGTATAACGCGATCGGAGGTGTTTATTAAAAATGCGCTGAAATATGTATAGACGGTTTAAATATTTAAAACCCATACAAAAAAATTACGAGCAAACCTACAACACTTTATGGTTGCTAAGATCGGCGTATACAAAATTGTGTTACTTACTCGCCTCTACGCGCAAACTCTATGCTTTTTACAGCCGTCGCACTTGAAGAACCAACAATAATACGAAAGCTCGCCACAATTTCTAATGTTTCTGCGTTTAAAACTAGTATCTTGCCCTTTGCATTGCCTGTGTAAATATGTTTACCGCGTCGATCAAATGAAGCAACAATATTTAAATCGCCCTGTTAGAGAATATTTGATGTTACGCATTAAAATTAATACTAATTCGAACAACTTACATCTGAATCCAAGGGCAGACATTTGTGTGTGTCACCAATGCGCACTAGCACAGCTGCATAACGCATTGGACAAACAAGGAAACGTTTGTCATTGCGTGGATCAAACTGCACTTTCAGCACTGGTGAAGGAAAACGATATTTATGCTCACAGTCGCCGGTGAGTACATCCCATATGCAAACGTTATTGTCTGTAGAAGCGGACAGTAACTAAAATACAAAATATTGTTTAATTTATTAAGAAATTTATTCCCATTGTTTATAGTTTACTCTATGTCCATTACGCGTCCAACTTAAACTGCACACTGGATGCACATGAGCTGAGATAATTTTTGCAATTCCACGCGTTAAGAAATCCCAAACAACAATGCGCCCATCGTTACAGCCAACGGCTAATAAAGTACCATATTTATTGAAAGCACAAGTTACAGCAAGTGATATGCAATCCAGTGAGCCATCGAATTCCTCGGGATAATTTTGGCCAAAAGATTCTGCAGTTACATTAAACATAATATTACCTTAAAAATTATATATTTATGTATAGACTTACCTAATAGTTCTAAATTCATGCTGAAAACAATATTTGAGTATTTTTTGTATAATTGTGCGGCGGCCTCTTGCAGTAAGTTGACAAAGCTCTTAAACAATTTTATATGAAATAAATTGTCATAGTTTGTTTACTTTTTCGTCAACTTATATTATTAATTATGTGCTTTAATACAATGTTTGAATTTAATATTTAAATTATTTAATTATAAATTGCTTAAATAACAATTATTTCGAATCAAATTAGACGCCGCTTAGTCTTATCAACAAATAGCCAAACAGCTGTTTTTGTATGGTTTGTTAAAAGTAGGGGAAAATATTAGTGAAGAACAGTATTATAAGTTTTTTTAGTATCGACTGAAGTCGGTGATGAAAATTGTGATTTTATTAAAATTTATATTAATTATTTAATATATATATAACTGAAATTGATGTTTTGATATTAAAATATTAACATAAAAAATGTTCCCAAATATTTGTAGCGTGAAATTCAAATTTAAAAACACACTACACTTTAACATACTTTTAGATTAATAAAAACTACTGTTAAAATAATAAAAATAATTAGTAAAGAGTAAAATTATACTAAATTTAGCATTACATGCTGTTAAGATATTAAGATAAGATCTATTACTAAGTTCATATCTACACTTTTGCAAAAGTTGTACAAATTGTAAATGTTACAAAAGTTTTATTTTATATTCTTATGGTAAATACTGCATTATGTTTACTATATTATTTTCATAAAGATCAATGTATGTAAGTACCATTTTTAATTCATAAGAATTTCACAACCAAATACCTCCATATTTTTTGTTATATTTTTAACGTACTATTAATATAGTAGTAGAACAGTAAAAATGACGTAATCGTACCATAATAATCTATTACAATTCAGAAAGTACCATTCGTACAATACATACCATTTTGAGCCCATTCCAACACAAACCAGCCAACGGAAAGGCAGCATTTTGGCGTTTTGTCATCGTCATCGGCTTTGGTAGCGTCAGCTGAATAGCAGAAAAAAGGTGCAGTGCTGACAGTATTGTACGTCAATCACAATACAACCCTGTCCTTTCTCCTGCGAAAATTGCACATGGCTTGAAGTCCACGCAAGTGCACGACTCCATTTCATGACAATTTCTTGCATTTCAAGTGTTTATTTTTAATAGATTTTTGTGTGGAAACGTACATTAAACGGTTTTGAACGCAAGTAAGTAAAAATTCGGTGTGTAACGTTGAGGAGATTAGAGAAAAAGTGTGTAGAAAAATAACGTTACAAAATCATTGTGTTTCTGTGTATGTGTCGAAATGTGTACGTGTGCGCGCTAAAATAAGAGGAAAAGAGTGCGCGAAAAGCACGACAGCTTTCGTTTAGTAGTATTTCCAAAAAGTACGTGTACGTCACCAAAGTTTACTGTTTGACCAGACAGAGTGAACGTTCGAAATATACATACATATATGTATGTACGCTATTTAATGCAATGCTCATAAACTGAGAGAGTAGTAAACAGTGTTGCTGTTGTGGAATTTCAACATTTTCGATAATATAAATGTATATTGGCCGCGGTATTTTCCGTTCTTTTTTGTACGTATATGTATGTATGTGTAAATTGTGGAATAGTACTAAATGAAAAATAGAACGAAATATTTGCTATAATATTTTTATATATTCAACATACATATAATAAAATATGGGTAATAACAGAAATAATACAAAATGTAAAGAGCTAAATATGACATATTTTAATTTAAAATATTTGTAAAATTTCAAATCGTACAGTTTTGAGTACAATGAGAAACTGTACTTTTGTTATAATTGTACGTTATCTGAAAAGTACGATGATCTTCCCAAAAATACATGAGGCCTACCAAACAATCATCGCACAGTTCTTCGACAGCGAGGTCAACGAGAAAACAGTACTTTTAGCTATACAAACGAGTACGAATGCAGTATTCGTTCATTTTGTTGCAAATCTACCTGTAAAGCGATCAATGCTAGGAGCAAATGTGAATAGGTGTGAATGCAACAGTGTAAAAATCCAAGTGGAACAAACGAAAACGAAAATTTGTCTTGTGTTGTCAAGTGTTGGTAGCGAAACATTGTAAGTAGAAAACAGTGCGTCAGTCAGGCTGGCAGACAGTGGAAAAGACGTATCTCACGTTTTCTTACTTTGTGTGGTCGGTTGTCCCTCAGTTTGTGTGAATTATGGCAGTAGTGGAATAGGTGAATTAAAA